GTGGGAGGTGTCCCTGCCCAGGGCAGGGGGTGGGATGAGATGAGCTTTAAGGTCCTTCCAACACAAACCTGTCTGGGATTCTATGGTATGATGAATGGTTGAGGGAGGTGGGCTCAGTGAGCCTGGAGAAGAGGCTCAGGGGTGACCTCATGGCTGTCTCCAACTCCCTGACAGGGCTTGGAGAGAGGTGGGGGATGGTCTGTCCTGATGCACCATGTCAAGATCCTGCTGCAGCAGAATATGGTTTAGGGTTTCCAGCAGTGACAGGTTAATGGTTGGACTTGATGATCTTAGAGGTCTCCTCCAACCTTGATGATACTATGAGGTGGTGGAGTCACCATCCCTGGAGGTGTTTAAGAGGTTTCTGGTGCTGGAGGATCTGGTTTAGGGGTTCCAGCAGTGACAGGTTAATGGCTGGATTTGATCTTAGAGGTCTCCCCCAACCTTGATGATTCTACGATCTTTAAGGTCACTTCCAACCCAAATCACTCTGTGATTCTGTGATATTACAACTTCCTCCTGTACTTGCTGGCAAAAGACTAAACATCCAGGACTAAACCTTGCTCACCCCAGTCTGTTCTTGGCCCTGGGAGCAGCTGGGGTTATTTTTGCCTCCCTGGCCCCTGCCATGGTAGGCTGTGCTGAGCCCTGGAGGCCTCATGGCATGGTGCCCATGTTCCCATCCTGCCAGCTGCAGCCTTGGCTCAACTCTCCTTTACTGGGATCCCTGGGTCTTCTCCTTCCCACAATATGACTGAGGCAGTGAGGTGACATTAAAGTCCTGGAACAGCAGATAAAAGGCCTTGGCTGTATTTATGGAGTGTTACAGATAAGTAATCCACTCTGCTGTCAGTGTTTGGAGAAGCAGCCAATGAAGTATACATGGCCCTTGCTTTGATGTGATGAAGTCTCCAGAGGACACTTCCTTCAGTGCCACTCACAGAGCAGCTGGAGCTGAGTTTTCCTGTGGAAAATACAAGATTTAAGTGTCTTTATGCATTAAAAACATCACTGGGACTTATTCTTGTATTTGGGTGATTCCATGGGCTGAAAGCTAATGGGGGGGGGTTAATCCCAAATGGTATTAAAATCATCTTAATCATTTTTGTTGGAAGGGGAAAAATTAAAAGTTAGTTTGTGCTTTGATACAGAGCATTAAATCGACTATCTGGTTTCAATTGAACCCAAAGTGAAGGTTCTTCTCATGTCCTTAGATCAACTTGTTGGCATTGAAGAGGAAAAACCTCAATCTTACAACTATTAGTATTGGTTTTTGCATTTACTTGAGCTTTTTTTCTTGCTGGATTTCAAACTTGACCTCACTTTCTTGCCTTCTCCAGCTCTAAGAACATCCTTGGGTTGGGCAATTTGCAGCAGTTTAGAACCCAGCGAACCACAGATGTTCTTTTTTTGAATAATCTAGGCAATAATGAAGCAAATTAGTTAGCAAATGTCCATCAGTCATTGAATTAACACTACTTGAAGTTGGGAGATGTAAACCTGACTGTTTGGGGTGATGGATATTAGTCATTTTGGGCTTATGGTGTGGTCAGAAGGAGACCAGAGGCACCAGCACAGCTGTAGAAGGGAAACCCTAGCAGGATCCAAGGGAACAGCCCATCCCCATGCAAGAGGATGCCCTAAGTGGTGGGAGATTCCCATCCCTGGGAATGCCCCAACCCACTAGGACCAGCAGGACCAGCCAGGCCTTTTGTCCTTGCCCTAAAGAGCCTATTGGAACACTATAATTCCTTCCTCAATACACAGCAAGGAAATTGCTTCATCATCTTCTTTTCAGAAGTCAAATAGGCCAGTCCTGATCCTTGATCAACTCTTGAGCCTTGATCAACTCTTGAGCCTTTGCCTTTCAGCCTGGATCATGACAGGGATGCTGGAGATGCCACCAGGGGCCTGGAATCGCCTGGACATGCATGAGAGTGAGAACCTTCTGCTCTGTGGGACTCAACTCCATGCACCATGTCAAGATCCTGCTGCAGCAGAATATGGTTTAGGGTTTCCAGCAGTGACAGGTTAATGGTTGGACTTGATGATCTTAGAGGTCTCCTCCAACCTTGATGATACTATGAGGCGGTGGAGTCACCATCCCTGGAGGTGTTTAAGAGGTGTCTGGATCTGGTGCTGGAGGATATGGTTTAGGGGTTCCAGCAGTGACAGAGGTTAATGGTTGGACTTGATGATCCCCTCCAGCCTTGATGGTTCTACGAGCTAGAGGCGACCCAAACCTCTTATTCTTTATTTGGGAACAAGTCACTGCACATTGAAGTTTCAAGTCAGAGGCACCTAGAGGAGGGCTGATAGCTGAAGCAGCAGCAGCTGGGGGAGGGCTGTGTGTGAAGGACATCCTCTCCATAATGCACCATTAAAACTTCATGAAGAGCTGTCCCAGAAAACAATATTACAAAGCACTAAGGCTTAATATTCCATTCTTGGCTTTAGCAGTCTGGTCATTTGCAGGGAGGAATAATCAGCTTAGCCACAGCATCCACATATTTAATGTTCTGAGAGGGATTGGCTGATTTCTCTGCTTCTTTTTTTTTTTGCACAGTAATTGATGGGAGCCAAAAGCAGCAACTGGAATGTGTGAGCTACTCCTGTCGTTATGCTCTGGGCCTGTTTTATGGAGCTGGGACTGGGTTGGATGTGCCCTGGGCTGCTAAGTACATCTCCAATGACCCCTGTGTTCGTTTCATCTCCAGCGATAAGAGGAAACGCAATGTAGGTCAGTGATCCCTTTCTCCCCCTCAACCACCCTGACAATACAGGGGTAGATGCTGAAAATGCTGCTTAATTGAGTGTTGCTGTTCTGAACAGAGCATGTGTTTAACTCCAGGCTACAGAGGATGGTGTTTCATGGCATGTTTGGACTGTAATAAATGCCCAGTGAAAGCAGAAGAGCCTCAGAAAATCATCCCCAGCGCATGGGGGATGTTACTGCAGTGATGAAGCAGGACAGACTAGAAGGAATGGCCTCGGGCTGAGACAGGACAGAGTCAGAGAAGATGGTAGGAGAAATGTTTTCCCTGTGAGGCACTGGAATATTGCGCAGGGAGGTGGTGGAGTCACCAGCCCTGGAGGTGTTTAAGAGGCATCTGGGTCTGGCTGCTCTTCTTCCTACAGGCCAAGATGCCCTTGGCCTTCTTGGCCACCTGTGCACACTGTTGGCTCCCATGGAGCTGCTGCCACCAGCACTGCCAAGTCCCTTTGTGACCAACACCTCTCTCCCCACTCCTCCCCCAGCCTGGAGCTGCATGGGGTTGTTGTGTCCCAAGTGTAGGACCAGCACTGAGCCTTAGTGACCCTCATGCAGTTGAGAATTGTTGGACAATGAATGTAGACAGAGCTTGAAGAGTTTCCTGTCTTCTCCAACATGACTTGCTTGGACTCACTCCCCAGTTTATTTCCTGGTGTGTTCAGTAAATACTCAGCAGAACATTGTCTGCCTCAGAGTCACAGGACTTAGGGAGTGAGGAAAGGACCTCTGGAGGTCTCTAGTCCAACCGACTACTCAAAACTGAGTCCAGCTTCAAGAGCAGATCATTCTCCTACTCTTGGAGTGCTCAGGGGTCAACCCAAGGTTTACATCCTAGGCTCCAGAAGAGATCTGAGTACAGATGTGATAGCCACATATCTCCCACAGGAATGTTCTCCTCCTCCTTAGAGGAACAGCAGCAAGTATATTCCTCCTGTTCCTACCCAAAACCTGGAGCCTAAAACCAACCACAATCAGAGCCATATCAGATACTGACAAAGAACAAGATGTGGTTGTTTCCTGTCCGTCAGGATTGTTTAATCTTACTGGGGAGATGTGTTTTGCTTTCCAGTCCCCATTACTGGTCCTGGGTAGCATGTTGGGAAGGGAGGGGGCTTTTGCCAAACCAAAGAAACCTTGGAAGTTGACTGGAAAGGCAGCAGCAGAGAAACTGAACACTTCCAGCCAGGCTGGGACTGTGTCCCTGCACCCTGGGAGGGACTAACAGGCTGCCAAAGGAGAAGACAAGGTGGAAGCCTCATAAAACCCTAGCTAAAATGAAAAGAAAGAGCAGTGATTAACTTTATGACAGCTAGAAAATGAGCAAGAGAGATGGAGGTTCCCAGTGCAGAAGGGCTTGTGTGCTTCCCACTTATCCTCAGAAGCTCCCATGGCTCAGACGGTCCCATATTCTCCCTGGGATAAAATCTGCTCTATCTGGCAAGGCATATTTGGGAGGAATCTGTGTAAAGAGCTATTTTCTGTTCAGAATTGCAGCATTTCATTAGCCTTCCCAAGGCAGGCAGCTCTGGCAGGGGATTCCAAGGCTGTGGAATGAGGTGAGAACTTAACTAACTCTTCTTTCTACCTAAAATTCCTTATTTCAGCACTGAGAAGCTGAAGGAATCTGTATTTAAATTAAAAAGGCTACTCAAGAATTAACACTGATCCCAAAACCTGCAAGATGAATCTTCCCTTCAAATTCCATAACCCAAAAGAAAGAGAAGAAAGAAGAAGAAAGGGAACCACTTCTATTTTTCTGTGGCAACTCTCTTTACTCCTCTGGAATGCAAAGAGATGCAAAGAAATGAGGCTTGAAATAATTCATCCTGGAGAATTCCCACTGTCCAACCAAGCAGTTATGAATATTTATGATGTGTTTGAGGCAGCCAATCACACAGGTATTTAATATTCAGAGATACCTCGTGGGGAATTCAGCATACACTTCTTGGAGGCCCTTACGTAACAACCTCTGGGGCTGGAGATGAAATTCCACAAACAGCAGCTGATGAGAAAGGAGAGACCATCCCCCACCTCTCTCCAACCCCTTGTCAGCTTGGGGTGACTCACCAGGAGATGTTTGAGCTGCACTGCAGTGAGTGCACATCTCACAGAGCATCACAACCATCTGTAAGGAGGAGATCCATACCATAATCATAGAATCATGGAGGTTAGAGGAGACCTCTATGATCATCAAGTCCAACCATTAACCTGTCACTGCTGGAACCCCTAAACCCTAAACCATATCCTCCAGCACAAGATCCAGATGCCTCTTAAACACCTCCAGGGATGGTGACTCCACCACCTCCCTGGGCAATATTCCTGTGCCTCAACCCCCTCACAGGGAAAACATTTCTCCTCACATCTCCTCTGACTCTGCCCTGGCTCAGCTCAAGGCCATTCCCTCTAATCCTCTCCCTGCAGCCATGGCAGGACAGACCATCCCCCACCTCTCTCCAAGCCCTGTCAGGGAGTTGCAGAGAGCCATGAGGTCACCCCTGAGCTTCTTCTCCAGGCTAACCAAGCCCAACTCCCTCAGCCCTTCCTCATGTGCTCTAGCCCTTTGCTGCCCTCCTTGCCCTTGGCTGGACTCGCTCCAGTGCCTCAATGGCCTTTTTGCAGTGAGGGGCCCAAAGCTGAACACAGCACTGAGCTGTGAGCTCCCCAGTGCCGAATCCAGGGGGATGGTCCCTGCCCTAGTCCTGCTGCCACACTGGTCTTCACCCATCTGGTGCACCAAGGCTGAGATTCCCCATGGCTTTCAGGGACAAATCTCTTTCAGACTCCTCTTTTAGGCAGGATTTTTGCAGAAGAAAGAAAAAGAGCTTGAGGCTAAACTTGATCCTCTGAGGCTGCATATTTCAGTCCTGGAAGGCTGTGACTCAGTGGCCTCTGGAAGCTCTCCAAGCTCTCAGTAGCTCAAAGGAGGAATTAAAAGCTCAAGGAACTGCCTGTTCTCCCGCAACTTGTTTTGGACATGCTGGGGAGGAGAAGAGAGACCTGAAGGAAAGTGATCATTGGCTGGAGTCATTGGTGAAGTCATTAGCTATAACAAGACACAGCAAGCAATGAATATTTATCTTGTTAAAATGCTTAGACTTTTTTACTGAGTCTTTTGGCCAAGTTGATGTGGAAGAATTAGCCAAAATATTATGTGCACTGTAATAAATCCCAAGTTACATAACAGGCTTCCCCAGTTGGTCTTCTGGCCCTCACAGGCTCTGTGGAGAGACATCAGAATCCCTCTTTTCTCCCTAAAAACAGGAAGGAAAGACTGAGTAGCATTGCTGATGTTCTTCCAGACAGCTGGAAAAGCTGATGCCCACGGAGATATGTCCTGTGGTAGCCTGTGAAACCAGGCAACGTCTTCCCACCCCATCCCGGTTCTCAAGAGAAAGGCTTGGTTGAGCTGCTCCAACCAAGGAAGAGACTCAATGAGGAGATCCAATTGGAGTTAAAGCTATGGATTTCATGCATGCTATGGGTGCCAGACTCGGTGCTGCTTCACCTCAGTGGTGTGTTCTGAAGTGATGAGCCCAGGCCAGAAAGTTTAGCAGAGAAGGACATTTTGGTTGCCTTTGGAAAGCTGGAATTTCTTGTGGAATCAGAATTTTAGGGGTTGGAATGGAGCTTAGAGATCATCTAGTCCCAAACCGCTGCCCTGGTCAGGGACACCTCCCACCAGAACAGGTTGCTCAAGGCTTTAGCCAACCTGGCTTTGAACACTGCCAGGGTTGGGGCAGCCACAGCCTCCCTTCAGGTCATCTTTGAGGTCACTTCAGACCACCTTTGAGGTCCTTTCAGATCATCATTAGGGTCTCTTTAGATTATCTTTAATGTCCCTTTAGATCATCTTTGAGGTCCTTTCAGATCATCTTTAGGGTCCCTTCAGATCATCTCTAAGGTTCTTTCAGATCATCTTTGAGGTCCTTTCAGATCATCTTGAAGGTCCTTTCCAACCCAAAGGACTCTATGATTCAAGTCCTTTGTATTCCTGTGTGGCAGAGATTGTCCCCATTGACTCCTTCACTGTGAACAACTTATTCCTTGTGCTTATTTTCCAGCTGGAAGAATAGGGTAGTCCCGTGGATATTGGAATTGTCTTGACTCGTAGTCTAGAGGCACAAATATCCCCGTGTGAGGAAGGCAAGTATGGATGAGTAATCCCTCAAAAACATCTCTTTATTCCAGAGTCTCCTGAAGTTGGGCCCTCACTTGTAGTCCACACAACTGTGACATTTGGAAGTGAACACCTGGGCTCAGACCCTGCAGAGGTGCAGCAGATAATACTCAGCCACCTGGAGAAGATTGTGCCATCTCTACCTAAACCAAACAGCATCAAGTGCCACAAATGGAGATACTCTCAGGTATTCCATGGTGGGATCAGACAACTGAGGGGTTCTGCTGGGGCTGTGGTTGGTATCCTTGGGGAGCAAGAAGGAAGGGAATAGTTAGTTATTCAGTATCATTCCTTCATGTAGCCATGAGCAGCATCCAACTGCCCAGCACCACCAGGTCATGTCTAGCCATGGTTTTTCCTAGTGGACATGGCTCACTGGTGAGTTATGGAGCATTTCTGGTCAGTAGAGACAGGAGATGTGTGCAGGAAGGATCTTTCTCCTCAGTGCTGCTCTCAATTCTTTCCCCACCTAGCTTGTAGGTGTGCCTGGGATTGCCATGGCCCAGATGTAGGACCTTGCACTTTATTTTGTTGAACATCATGAGATTGGCATCAGCCACCTCTGAAGCTTGTCAAGGTCCCTCTGGATGGTTCATCCCTTGCCTCCAGCTGTGACTGCCCCACACAGCTTGGTATCAGCAGTGACCTTGCTGAGGGAGCCTCAGTTCTACTGCCCATGTCATCACAAAGATGCTGAACAGTGTCAGCCCCAGCACTGACCCCTGAGGGACACCACTCCTCACTGGCCTCCACATGGACAATGAGCCACAACTCTGTGATCATGACTCAATCAAGCTCTGCACATCCAAAAGGATGTGATATGATCAGCCAAATTCCCACCCTAGCACAGAGCAGCAGAAGCTCAGGCTGTTCATTGGTGTTATCTGCTTAGGCCCAGCTCAATGTCACAGTATGTTATGGAAAAAGGACTTGAAGTAAACTACCTAAGGGTAAGAAGAGCCAAATGTGGATATTTTCTAGGCTTCTTCTAAAAATCCAAGGAAATTGTTGGCAATTTCCTCAAGTATTGCAGTGTCTCTATGTGTTTACCCAAAGCCTCTCAAGGTGAATTACATTGGGGAAATTAAATGTGGAAGTTGAGGCAAAATATTTACTTTAAGCTGTTCCTTACAAAGTTTTGCTTTGATGAAGTCTGGAATCATTGCTGGGGATGACTGGTGTGAAGTCTAGTTAAACCTCTTGATCTGCAGCCCATTAGGGACCTGGTCTTGTTAGAAATAGAGTCATGAAGGTTGGAGGAGACCTCTAAGACCATCAGGTCCAACCATTAATATGTCACTGCTGTAACTCCTAAACCATATCCTCCAGTGCCAGATCTAGATGCCTCTTAAACACCTCCAGGGATGGTGACTCCACCGGCATCCTGGGCAATATTATAGTGCCTCAACACCCTCACAGGGAAAACATTTCTCCTCACATCTCCTCTGACTCTGCCCTGTCTCAGCCCAAGGCCATTCCCTCTAGTCCTCTCCCTGCAGCCATGGCAGGACAGACCATCCCTCACCTCCCTCCAAGCCCTGTCAGGGAGTTGGAGAGAACCATGAGGTCATCCCTGAGCCTCTTCTCAAGGCTAACAAAACCCAACTCCCTCAGCCAGTTTCTTCCCTGTGAGGGTGTTGAGGCACTGGAATATTGCCCAGGATGCTGGTGGAGTCACCATCCCTGGAGGTGTTTAAGAGGCATCTAGATCTGGCACTGGAGGATATGGTTTAGGAGTTACAGCAGTGACATATTAATGGTTGGACCTGATGGTCTTAGAGGTCTCCTCCAACCTTCATGACTCTATTTCTAACAAGACCAGGTCCCTAATGGGCTGCAGATCAAGAGGTTTAACTAGACTTCACACCAGTCATCCCCAGCAATGATTCCAGACTTCATCAAAGCAAAACTTTGTAAGGAACAGCTTAAAGTAAATATTTTGCCTCAACTTCCACATTTAATTTCCCCAATGTAATTCACCTTGAGAGGCTTTGGGTAAACACATAGAGACACTGCAATACTTGAGGAAATTGCCAACAATTTCCTTGGATTTTTAGAAGAAGCCTAGAAAATATCCACATTTGGCTCTTCTTACCCTTAGGTAGTTTACTTCAAGTCCTTTTTCCATAACATACTGTGACATTGAGCTGGGCCTAAGCAGATAACACCAATGAACAGCCTGAGCTTCTGCTGCTCTGTGCTAGGGTGGGAATTTGGCTGATCATATCACATCCTTTTGGATGTGCAGAGCTCATCTTTCTGGCTGATGTTCTCCGAGTATCCTGAACCACTGCACCATTTACATCTCTTCCCACTTCTACCTCAACTATCAACTGGAGTTGCTGCTCTTCACCCACCACCTCTAGCAGCTGCTTGTGCTCTCTGCCTGTGCCCCAGGAGGAATTAGCACCAGGTTTTAATTTGGGAGATGAATGTCAATATGTCTTAGTTTGCAAATAAATCAGTGTAGGTCAGACCTGTTATCTCAGTCAAGAGCTCCCTAATGCCACCTTAAAATATAATCACTGCTTAAAGGGAGTATTTCTCCAGAGCTTCTTTCTTTTCAAGCTCTCTTTGCTTTCAATTCTAACCAGCTGCTGCAACAGAGGCAGAGGGACCTGATAAGTTGGGTGCATCTTCCCCCTGCCTCTTTTAGCTGGGATTTAGCCTCCTTGTTAATTAAATCCAGCTAGAACATCCTTCCCATGGCCAAGCACAATCCTGGGATTAAACTGCAGACATGACAATTATCCAGGGCAGTTGAGGGATTACGACTTCCAAAATGCTACTGACACTATTTAGCAGCACAGCTGCACTTGTGGAGCCTCTGCTTTAATTACAGCCAGGCACCATTAGCCTTCAGAGCCAACAGATTCCCAACCCAGCATGGGTTTTTGGCAGAGCTGCTGGATATAGAATCATTAAGGTTGGGAAACACCTCCAAGATCATCAAGTCTAACCTTTGAATCCCAGTAAGGGTAAGCTAAGTAAGAACAGTGTTCAAAAAGCCTTTTCCTGCTAAATCTTTCTGCATTCTTTATATTCAGCTTAGTCTGTAAGGAAAGTTTAGGCGTAAATGAAGTGAAAATTAAGTCAGTTTAGTCAGAAAGGGCCTTGAGAGTGCTTGGGGCAGCAGCTCAATGGGAGCCAAGTGTGCACAGGTGGCCAAGAAGGCTAAGGACATCTTGGCCTGGATTGTTAGGGGGTTGGAATGCAGCTTAGAAGTCATTCAGTCCCAACCCCCTGCCCTGGGCAGGGACACCTCCCACCAGAACAGGTTGCTCAAGGCTTTAGCTTTTAGCCAGGTCTTTCTGCTGTGAATTTTGCCTTAATTAAACACCTTCTTTTCCATCTTCCTCTATGTTTTTCTCTTTCAGGTCACAAAAGCTGTGCCAAACTGTCCAGGACACATGATTCTTCACACTCAACCTCTTCTGATTTGTGGGGGTGATGGCTTTACCCATTCCAACTTTGATGGCTGCATAGAGTCTGCTCTGAGTCTTGCAGAGGCTGTGAAGCCTCATTTAGAGCAATTTCCATGTCAAGCTGCTAATCTTCATCTAGATTTATGAGAGATTGGATGCTGATGAACGGAATTTGAGTTGAATGTCAATACCTATGACTCTCTTTTGCAAAAAGAAGTCAAGGAAGATGTATCTCCATTACAATAATTATTGGGATGGGATTAAATTGGAACCTTCTAGGATTTCTGCTCTGAGTGGTTACTTTGATTGAAATAAAGCTTCTTCTGGTCCTACACAGAGGCAAGGAGCTCCAGCAGTGCTTCCAGGTCTCCATATAGTTCTACAGCCCCTGAAGATGATATCAAGGAAAGGGGAACCAGCACAAAAATCCATGGAACCGCAGGGTTTACTCCTTGTTACCTTCTTGTCCTAGTGCCAGGACAAGGGGGAGTGCTGCACTTGAGACACAACATCACTGAGCCTTATTGACCCTCATGCAGTTGTCCTCAGCCTATTGATCAAGTCAGTCCAAGGTCTCTGTAGAGGTTTCCTACCCTCAGGCAGATCCACACCCCCTCCGAATTTAGTGTCCTCTACAAATTACTGAGGGTAAACTCCTTCTAAACCTGATTTGAACTTGCCCTTCCCTTCAAGTCAAGTGACATCCTGAGCTCACAGCAGCTTGATTTTCTGCTGAGTTTGCCCATTTCAAGTGCAGCATTTGAGGTGCCACTAAGAACATTCAACATTGTTGATTTAAAGACATGCAGAAAACTCAATGTGAGGCATTTTTGACTTAACACTGTTGTTCCTCTCAGTGTCTCTCAATTGGTTGTACTCTGAAGAGCTGTGATGCTCCCTCAGGGGCCTTAGATTATAGAATCATAGAATTTTAGGAGTTGGAATGGACCTTAGCGATCATCCAATCCCAATCCCTTGCCCTGGGCAGGGACACCTCCCACCAGAACAGGTTGTTCAAGGCTTTAGCCAACCTGGCTCTGAACACTGCCAGGGTTGGGGCAGCCACAGCCTCCCTGGGCAGCAGCAGCTTCAGTACCATGAGTGATAGATAAATGGAGATGTCTCTCAGCAATCTCACAGCTTTGGTCATTCTGATAGCTCAAAATACCTTTTAATAAGCAAATCACAGCTTCTTAGATTGTTTCCTACTCATGAAATGGCCTGAATTAACCAAATCCTGGGCTGCATCCAAAGGAGTGTGGCAGGAGGTTGAAGGAGGTGATTCTCCCTCTCTACTCTGCTCTGGTGAGACATCACCTGGAGTGCTGCACACAGTACTGGTGTCCCCAACAGCAGAAGGACATGGAACTGTTGGAGCAAGTCCCAGAGGAGTCCACAAAGCTGATCAGAGGATTGGAGCATCTTCCCTATGAGGACAGGCTGAGAGAGAGTTGGGGCTGCTCAGCCTGGAGAAGCAAAGGTTGTGTGGAGACCTCAGAACAACCTGCCAGGATCTGAAGAAGCTCCAGGGAAGCTGCAGAGAAACTCTGTGTTAGGAAGTGCAGGGACCGGACAGCGGACAATGGGGACAAATTGAAAGAGGGGAATTGAGATGAGCTATTAGCAAGAAGTTTTTCTCTGTGAGGGTAGTGAGACACTGGCACAGGTTGCCCAGGGAGGCTGTGGCTGGCTGCCCCAGACCTGGCAGTGTTCAAAGCCAGGTTGGCTAAAGCCTTGAGCAACCTGTTCTGGTGGGAGGTGTCCCCACCCAGGGCAGGGGGTTGAGACTAGATGATCTCTAAGCTCCATTCCAACCCCTAAAATTCCATTATTTTTATGATGAAAATTAAGGAATACCAAGAATCAGGAGGCTTTTCATCATCCATGTCTTTCAGCACCACAACCTCTAAGAGGACACCAATCTCCCCCTTTGCTAAACGTGAAATGTCTCCACTTGGCTCCAACAATGACTCCCAGGATTATTTCTCACCTGTTTCCGCTCATTTCCCTTCAGAGGAGCAATTTTGCTTGCCAAAAAAAGCCACTACCTCACTTCTCTTACTAAAGTGCTATTTCACTGCCCTGTGAGGCTGTATCTTCTCCGCCTCCACCACTGCAGTGTCATCTGCTCTTGGAGGTGCCACCTGAGACTTAAGCAAAACCCCTGAGGAGACTAAGAGCAAGGCAATGTAGGGGCAGAGCAGCAGCAGAAGGCTCTGGGATTTCAGGGCTTCAGCTCTGCCACACAAAGCAGCTTAGGGACAGCACAGCTGAGCCAGAGCCTGGATTAGATGCAACCCCACCTCTGGCTCCAGGAAAATCTCTGCAAGGTGCTTGCTGGCAGTTCAAAGAGTGCCCTTGTCCCTCCCCAAGAAGCTCCTGGGTCCAGCATCAAACTCCTCATGGCATATCACTATCCCATTTGGGGTTGGTTAGGTTGGATTTTGCAGCATGGAGCAGCTGAGGAACACCCAGACCCTCACAAAGCTCTTTGGGGCTCGGGCTGGGCCTGCAGCTCAGCCAGGAGGGATGACCCAGACACAACTGCACAGTTGGGGTGACATGGGGGCAGGTTCCTGTTCTGTGCATTACTTCCAAGAGGAACTTGTGTGTCAGTGTGACACATCACCCTGGTGCTGCTGCTCAGCAACATCTGCTTTCAAGCTGGGGCTGTGCCAGTTGTGCCTTCATCAAGAGGAAGTGTGGTCATGGTGGAGGATGGGGATGCCCCAAAATGACCCTAGGTAACCTGTTGGAGCTGTGATGTTGGTCCTGCTGGAAGCAGAATCAGGCCAGAGGGCTCCACACATTCCTTCTTGGTCACACATGCTTTTTAGATGATGGAGATGTCACATCCCAAGGACAGGGGGTTGGGACTAGATGATCTCTATAAGGTTCACTTCAACCCCTTAACATTCTATGATTCTATCTGTTTTACAGCACTTTGATCCAGGGATCTGCAAGCAGGGGCAGATGCCACCAGTGGGTAGAGAGCCAAGAGGGTTGAATGGAAATGGAGCTTAGAGATTATCCAGTGCCAACCCCCTGCCCTGGGCAGGGACACCTCCCACCAGACCAGGTGGTTTAAGGCTTTAACCAACCTGGCTTTGAACACTGCCAGGGTTGGGGCAGCCACAGCCTCCCTGGGCAACCTGTGCCAGTGTTTCACCACCCTCACAGGGAAAATCTCCCTAAGATTTAATCTAAATATCCCTCTTGCAATTTCTCACCATTACTCCTTGTCCTCATTACTGCTGTTCCTAACAAATCCCATAACATCTGAGCATCGCCATAACTAGGTGCTGTAGGTATCATCCTGGTGGGAAAAAAACCCAAGAGGTCCTTGTTGGGAGGGACCACAGTGGTTCATCTGGTCCCACCTCTCTGCCAAGCAGGGCCAGCCCAGAGCACATGGCTCAGGATTGTGTCCAAAGGGTTTTGGAATATCTCTGGTGAGGGAGAATCCACAGCCTCTCTGGGCAATCTGTTCAGTGCTCAGTGACTGCACAGGAAAGAAGTTCTTCCTCATGTTCAGGTGGAACTTCCTGGGCATCTGTTCCTGCCTGTTGCCTCTTGTTTTTTTGGTTTCCAGCACTGAGTAGAGTCCAATCCATCCTCTTGGCACTTCTGTTATTGGACTTGAGTACATTAATGAGGTCCCTCCCTGTTATCTCTTCTCGAGGCTGAACAGCCCCAGTTGCCTCAGCCTTTCCTCATAAGTGAGGTGCTCCAGCCCCTTCGACATCTTCACTACCCTCCCCTGGATCTGCTTCAGAAGCTCCATGTCCCTCTGGCACTGAGGGGCCCAGAACTGGATGTGAACTCGACACATCAGGGTGTGTCCAGTTTGCCTGATGTTCTGGTCATCTTGGCTTTCACAAGTTTAGAATCAGAGAATCCCAGTTGGAAGAGGCTGACACGAATCATTGATCCAACTCCTGTCCCTGCACAGGACACCCCAACAATCTACCATGTGCCTGATTGCATTGTCCAAACCCTCCTTGAGCTCTGTCAGGCTTGGGGCTGTGACCACGGCCCTGGGGAGCTGTTCCAGTGCCCAAACACCCTCTGAGGGAAGAACCTTCGCCTAATATCCAACCTAAACCTGCTCCAGTGCCCAAACACTCTCTGGGGGAAGAACCATCCAACCTAATCCTACCCTGATGCAACTCCAGCCCATTCCCTCCGGTGCTGTCCCTAGTTGAATGTCATCCATGTCCCATGGGTGAGCAGAAAGCCACTGCTTGGCCTCAGCTGAGCTCTGCATGTCTCTGCTGTGGGAAAAGGAGCCTGTACCCCCCCGCCCCAGCTCTCCCTCCCCACTGCTCAGCCAGTCATGAGAACTCTGTGGTCAACCACAGCTCAGCTTGAAGTTATCTCCTCAGCACAGTGTTCCTGTGGAGCTGAGTGGCACCTCCTCCCTCACCTGTGCTGGTCCCCAAACATCCTTCCTTTGTCAGCAGCTCAGATATCTCCTCCAGGATGATCACACATCAAGACCTTGAAAACAAAGTCCACCCTCGGCTGGTTCCCCCCCAGGGCATGGAAGTGATGCTCAGATTGACCCTTTCTCTGCCTTTTTCAGCCCTGAGTGGGGAAAAAAAATTGGGATAAAGCAGTGATGGATAGGCAGGCACTGCTCAGGCTGGAATGTAGGTCAGCTCTGTCCTAGCAGCTGCTTTCCCTGCCCACAGCAGAGGGAAAGGGATGAGCTGGCAGGAGAGGAGGAGCTCAGCCTCTCTCTTTCACTACCTTTTCAGCACACAGAAAATCCCAGCTCAGCACCTCAGAGCTTAGAGAGGCACAGCTGAGGTTGCCTTGGCAGTGAGCAGTGAGCCCAGGGCTATATGCCCCCAGCAGGGGAGAAGTGCAACCTCCAGAACATTCCCGGGCAAAGGGATCTTTTCCTAGAATCAGAGAATTTTTTTTAGGGGTTGGAATGGAGCTTAGAGATCATCCAGTGCCAACCCCCTGCCCTGGGCAGGGACACCTCCCATCAGACCAGGTGC